ATTCCACTCTGGACTGAGTTTTCATGCAAGATTTATGTCTTATTCAGTCAGAATTGGTCCTGTACACTGAAATGATTTCTTTTATTTGGGGGAACATTTGAAATCATTACTAATGTAAAAATGAACAAAGAAAATGTGTAAGATATTGTTAAATAGCACCAGAGTTTAACACAAGCCCTCTCTATTTGCCAGTGAGAGAGCAACACCTTCTGTCTGTCTGTTTCTCTCTTTCTCTTTTGCCCATCTTTGTTTTTAATTCTTATGTATATTAACTTATCCCAATGTTCAGATCAGTCATGACTCCATTTTTTGAATGGATTTTAATTAATATTATGAGTGCACACATACTGTTCTTTATTTGGTTTTAGTGCAAGATTACAGAAAGGTAATGAATGGGGTATGGTAGACATTGTGTGAGTTTGATTTGACCTGCAATTTGCTGGCAAGCTTGGAGGAGTTGAAACTGAAAATGAGATTTGAAATCTAAAAATCATGCAAATTTGATTAGAATTAGTGATTATTAATTAAACTGGGTTAAGGGAGAAAATAGCAATGCTGTATTGTGTCAAACCTTGAATTTTGTAAGATAAATTATTTATAAAAAAAAAAATTGATTATCCCACCTGTTGGAACACGTGACCATATTGATGATTGCTTTGAAATGGGGTGGAGGTAGGTTTTACAACTGAGTTCCTGTAGATCCTTAAAAAAGTCACGTTTTTACAATAGTAACATATATCTGACGACTTCAGCACAGTGTAGACATCTATCAAAAGATAAGTCATAAATTTCTATAAATATAGTCTTAAAGGATTCTTAAAAAATTTCCAAATTTCATATGGTGAAACTTGTAGGAAACCCTATACAAAGATTAATAAATTAGCTTGCCTGAGTAAACTGCAGTGGCTTTGTAAATAGAATTAGCACACATCAAAATTATTCTCTTTAAAATTCTGATAGTATAAACAGCATTGTAATATATTCTGAGTCAAGCAGTTACTTTCTGCTGTATTTGAGGATGATCACTATGATGTGTGGATTGCATGTGTCTGAATTATTTTCCATTATATTATATACCATGCATGAATTGATTCTATTGTCTTGGGGTTCTATCAGCAGATTATTCTTACTTTTTCCAAATTGTGTCATAAGTCTGTTGATAGACACAGTTACAAACGTACTTAAAACGCATGTGGTTAATCTTTTTATTGTGTTGATAGATACTTGATGTGAAGGCTGTGTAGTAATGTATTAAATTACCTAGGCTCAATAACATCGATAAACAAATTTGTCTTTTGCGAACCAGTGAAAATCATGATACTTTGTAGCAGTGAAAATTTTTCTTGGGTTCTACACCACTGAATGTCAGCGACTTTAGCATAATTTTGTCTTTGCGAAATCCGTAAAATCTAATCACGAAAATTAGGCATTTTACACTATTTGCATCTGAGACTTGATTGATTCCACTTTACAGATTGACAGCAGTTATGGTGTTTTATTCTTCCTATAGGTTAAAGTTTCTCTGATAAATGAGATATTTTCTTTATATACATGGCATTCTATGGTTTTGCTTGGGGTTTTAGTATCTAAGAATTACTATGAAACAATTGTAAATAAATTTTTTAAAAGTGTCAAGAAGCCTTGCGGTTCTGAAAACTAAAACCATTAATAACTTCTTGTTACTGGAGGTGTAATTCAATCAAAGTTTAGTGAAAATTCTTGTGTTTGTCTGTTATTTCACTTCCAGAACCAGGTGCAAAATATTTATATTTGTTTGGCAAAATGTGTGTTTTTCACAAATAAAAATAAAAATAAAAACAGCAGTCAGTTGTTAAAATGCATATACATGCCAATTCACATTAGTAGTTTGAAGTAAAATTCATTTCTGTGAAAGAGAACTTAAATTTTCGGTTTGACTTGATAATTTGAGGAATATGATTGATTTCCTGCCAAAAAAAAGGGAATTTTCACTGCTTCAAACTTTGTCTCATAAATTTGAGAAGAAAAAAAAGGGAATTTTTGACAAAGATGGTCTTTGCAAAAAAATGATTTTCCCAATAGTAAAAGATTCAAATTTTTAATGTTGAAGTCTCCTGATCAAAATTTATCCTAATTAGAGCATTTTCAGCCAATATTTTTTTAGTTGTATGCTCTTGGTTTATTTTTTTCAACTGAAGAGTCAAAGCAGAGCTTGCCTGATTCATGTGACTCAACACTACACCTCTGCTATTTGTCTTGTCAAACCGCATGACTAGCTATCCTACCGGTAACATTTATTTTGCTTTTGTTCACTTAAGGAAAGGCTCTGAGATGTGTGTCGTCTTCAGAGTTCAGTAAATTAAATATGGTAGACCAGAATATTACTTTTAGATAACATTTACATTGTATCATTTGCAAATGCATGCAATTCTGACCCTGTGATTCACTTATTTTTCTTGTGTTCTAACACTAGATTGAAGTGTCACAATTATGTAAATTAGGTTCCATATTTGGTGGTAATATTTAGTGCTGGGACTTTTCACTTCTATTGTATTCCTGTATTTCTGACACTAGATTGTCACAAAGAGTTTTAGCTTTTAATTATATTATTATTGTTATATAATTTTTGCCAAATTTGATAAAATGACTTCTGCCAGGCTTATGGATTGTTGCAAAATCATAGATATATATTTTTCTAATATTAAAATTATGTAAGCATTTATATACAAACACTGATCAAGTGTAAATCTATCTTGGTATAGCAATTTTCACTCATGCCTGGTTTATGTTATTTTTTAACTTAAGTTATGTTAAACTGCTTTGCAGTGTTAAATATTTCACAATAGAAGAGTTCTCTGGTTGCTTAGCTACTGTATTGTACAGAGGTGGGGATGGAGTGTCAATCAATGTTCGTTCACTTCCAGTCAGGAGGAATATGCAGTTTTCAGCAGATATTTTACCATGTCGAATTCAATTTTGTTCCATGCATGTTGATTCTGTATCGTAAGCATCCATGTTACCTTTGAAAAAATATGAAGGGTTTATAAAATGTGAAAACCTTAACCTGCCAGAGACTGTGGAAATTAGTAGGCAACGTAGCTGAGTATGAAATAAAAAGCAGTCTTAAATATGTTGTAATGAACTAGTGTATGTGTCAAGTTCAAATGTTATACTTGCTTTAACTTGATCTTTTGTTAGTCTTTAATACTTAACACATGCATCTTGTGATACAGATGCACATCCATTTATTTTACAGTCAGATTCAAGGTGCCTATTTTAGCGTTGAAAATTCATCAAAATCAAGCCATTTCTGCCATTCTCGAACCAGGTTGGACATCATGGAACCTTCTTGCATTTCGTTTTCAACATTTTGTTTTTCAAATCAGTTCCAATGAAGGCTGCTGCAGAAAGCCAGACTTAAAAAAAATTGTCACCATTACAGTTAAAGTCTTTAAATATTTTTTTTAAATGCAAACATTTAGTATTAAAAAAAATAATTCAGGTCCCAATGGCTTTATTTTATTTGTTAATATTTGAAGATTTGTCATTGCAAATGCAAGTTTTATGCTTGACTGTTGGTTGCAATGGCAATGACTAGTTTCAACTACAAGGAAAGTTTTATACTGTAGAGCAGTTTTCTCAACCATCTTGCGACCATTGACATGATTGTATCATTTTTGATCCAGGCCTCCAAATTGTTTTTCTCAGTTTGTGTGATATTGGAACTTTTTCACTGTAAGGCTGTGTCATCCTAAGAAAAGGGTGATACAGAATTTACGTCAACCAAAGAAAATCTTCTACTAGTTTTTAAGACAAGAGTCGTGCTTATTTAGGTTATTGGTTTTCAAATTTGCTTAAAAAATATGGCAATGCATTTTGTTGACTATGAAAGTCATGCAGTCACCTCTGAATAGACTGTTAATAAACATATTAAAGACAGAGAAATGTGCACATACGTAATTTTATTAGGAGAAAAAGATCCTCTGCATTGCCAACAAATTATTGACCATGATTTGACCATGACATTGTTTGTCAGTCTTGTGGGGAGGGTCCTAAATATGATCTGACTAAACTAATTCCATTTTCCATAAGACATCTATCCAAGTAAAAGCAATATAAAATCTTGGTTCTTTTTGTATAGTTTTGTAATAATTTTAAGTAGACTGTAAATTCAAACGATTCTTGCAGGTTGAACCAATCTGGCTCATTAGTAGTAGCTTATATTTGGGTGTGTACAGCTTTTTGATTAGTTCTTTGACCTACAATATATGTACCTTGTTAGGAATTTAATAATGTAGGAACTCTCATGCCAAATCTATGAATAAAAACAGTCTATTGCCACAAACTTTATAGAGGAGGTCTAGCTTCATTTTTATTGCAATGTATATTAAAACAAAGACCGCTATGGGGGTCAGTAGAAAAGGAATATTGGTGGTCCAGCCGACTATTGAAACATCTTGTACATTAAAGCTGCACTGTGTATGATTTCTTGAAAACCCATTCACTCTCCTCTGTAAGCATCATAAGGGGTTTTGATTTTGTACAGTTCATGAAAATCTTTTCCTATTCATGCAAAATCTTTTCCAACAAAATCCTGAAATCAAATTTAGATGTGCACCTAAAAAAAAACCTTTAAAATCTTCAGTGCAAGCTAAATTCACTACGTTTAATTACCCATTATCCGGTCAGTCAAAATGACTATTTTGAACTGTAGGCCTTAATCTGCGATTCAGCCAATGACTGAGAGAGAAATCTAGGTCAGGGGAAGCCCCATGACCTCGTAGATTTTCTTCAATGCAGGTAACACATGACCGAGGTCTCAGCGGCCATCTTATTCACTCTGTTTTCTCTGCACTGAGTGTGCATCGCAAGCAAAACAGTGCGATTCAGTCGGCAGTTTTTCTCAGCTTAGTTTTCTGAGGTACTCCATTCTGTGCCTATTGGTAATACATGGTGTCTGGTAGGATAACATTTTTCTTATTAGGGACCCACGTCTTTTTGTACCGCACACAAAAAAAGCTGTGGTGACGCATATGGCTACTTTTGTAGGGTTTCATTGTGTCAATTTCAACTGTAATTTCATACGACTCGTGCTTGCCTAGTTCATTTCTTAGTGTAGCTACAAATGGCCAACAAGAAGAAAAGGAAGCACTCCAAGAAGGGCTTCTCACCTCCTCTGGTTTCATCCCTAAAGTCCCCTCAGCCTTTCAGGAATTGCCACCAGGACCTCCCGGGTTGGAACCCCCATAGTAGATGTCATCTTTGTTTGGAATGTGTACAGGGTCTGTTTTTTTTTGCCACAAGGACATGTGTTCAAATTGGGATGCCAAGACCTGGGATCAGCACATTTGTATTGCTGAGGCTGACCGTGTTGCTTGGGCTCACCTCGCTGCCAGTTCTGGTGGCCCTGGGGGTGTGAGTGAGAATAGTGCTTGTATGAGTGGGAAGTCATCCCGTTCAACTACCAGTACCTCGGGTGCTGGGCAGGCCTATGATTTGGACCAAGCAAGGCAGGATGTTGGTCTCGTCCCTCCCTTGCATTCTACCAGTCAGGGATTGTCTGTCGGAGGCAGTACCAGGGACCTTTCCCAGGACACTGCCTCCTCTGTGGGTCACTCCCCTTCAATGACCCGTAGGCATTCCCAGAGGAGACCAACCCGGCTATCAGAGGTTTCGGCGATATCTGACTGCTGAACATGGTGGAGGATGCACAGACTGTGTTGATGGGTGAAAATTGGTCCCATGCAGAAAAGTATATACCTAAGACTCCATGTTGGGGTAAATTTGTGGCTAACTTTTTCTGCTGGAGCAAGCTCTATCCAATCGGTGTGGCGTCTGGTAACGGAACCAGCAGAGCATAGAGCCTGGAGCTGAACCTCACGCCCAACCTGATCTCTTGGTTCTTTCCCTGACCCATATACCACACATTTTTGTTCGGTGGGACAGATAAGGGGGGAAGGCCATGTTCCATGGAGTTTCTCGACATCTCAGTCAAAAACTGTCCACCACGCCCTGAGAGCAGAGTTGCACCCAATTAATTTTTTGGAGTTTGTGACCAGCACACTGGAACGCATTACGGTGTGTGTCCAGGACTCCAGGATATCTGATATGTGTGATGTCCTACAGTGTCATCTGGCTCTCTTGGCAGGGGCTAGCTCTGTGCAGCAGGAGGCTGTTTTGGCCTCTTGTGTTTTCGCAGGCAAACTGAGTCACGGTGTGCGGTACTGCCTTAGTTACACAGACTGGACCTCGTCCACCCTCTTTGACGGTGAGATGGAGGGTGCAGTCTCAGAGTTTCGGGAAGCCACCGACCAGATGGTACAGACGGATGGGATCCCAAGCTTTCGCGGAGAAAGCACAATGGCCAAAGTTGGCACCTACTTGCCAGAAGCAGCCAGATGGCAAGCACCCTACTCTTCTGGGGAAGGCAAGGGCAGGGCGGAAGAGAGATTTCTTACAATGTAGAATCGCCGAACCTGTGGCCACATATCCCTGTTACACACACAGATTGCTTGGAAGCAGCGGGTAACCGACCCCTGGACACTGGACAGGTGCTGATACACAGTTACAATTCTGCTGCTATCTCTGCTTCTCCTGTCGACATCTCCCCTATTAGGTTGCTGCAAGGGGATCCCCTCAAAGCGATGGCAATCCAACAAGAGATAGACAGTTTGCTTATGGGCGCAATACACAAGGTAGAAGACCCAGCAACAAGTCCGGGCTTCTACTCACATGTGTTTGTAGTTCCAAAAGCTTCAGGTGCTGGCGTCCTGTCTTGATCTAAGCAAACTAAACTACCTACTAATGAGCCCAGCAGTGTACCACTTACACGCATGGAGGCTCTTAGTACACTCGCATAGACGAAAGGTTTATCTGAACAGGCTGCCAATGTCCTGGCCAGGTCGAATAGGGGTTCCACCAATGCTGCCAACGATTCCAAGTGCGGGCATACATTGATTGGTGTAGTGGAATCCATGCCACCCTGCTTTGTTTGACGAGTTAGGATTGTCCTATGCAGCAATCATTAGCTATAGGCCAGCCTTATCTCCCACCATTAAGAGGTATTTGGGTACATGACTAGCCAATTGTCCTATTATTAGGAAACTGTTTACTGCTTTTCATAATCAGAGGCCTAGACCCCAATCTAGGGAACCACCCGGCTCTAAATGTTGTTGGCTCTAAATGGACCACTTTTTGAACCACTGGAATTAGCACCACTGAACTATTTGCAGTTGTGGTGGCACAGGGGGCGGCCACCCCCTCGAAACAAATTTTGAGGGGGCATCGCCCCTCCAAAATCAAGCTGAAACCCTTAGTTTCAGCAAAATTTGCCCCTCAAAATGCAGGAAATAGCGTTTCAGATGGTCTAGATTTCGGCACGAGTTTGATGAGGAGATCTCGCTCCCATGATCTCTCATGCAAAATTTTGTGCCGCTGCCTCTAATTTGATGTGGAAACAGTCTTCCTACTATCTCTCGCCTCAGGTAGGCATTGTTCTGATTTAGGGGCCTTGTCCTTTTTGGACCGTTGTGCCACCTTTATGGACAATCAAGTTGTGTTAAAGACAGGAATCAGGTTTCCCGATCAGGATCCACAGCCGATAGTCATCCCCCATTTGACCAATACTGTCGGTCCGGAGGAGTTGCTTCTATGCCCGGTTTGAGCTTTGAGTTTCTATGAGAGACGTACTAGGGAGTTGAGGCAAGGCGAAAAACACATGTTTATGTATTATGGCCAGGGTGAGCAGGGTAGACCAGCCTCCCTGACTTCCATTTCCAGGTAGATCACTTCGACAGTGTTTGGCGTCCTCGGCACAGGGTCTACAGAGACACCAAGTACGAGCACATGAGGTTTGTGCGGTCGCAAACTCATTAGCTCTTGCATCAGGTGCCCCCTCGAATACGTGCTTTGGGCAGGCTTCTGGAGAACGCAAAACATCTTTATCAATTATTACCTAAGAGACATGCCAGCAATTGAGGAAGGTTTTTTAAGGGGTGGGTCCCGTCGTTGCGGGTCAGACTTTGATTCTTGACCCAGCCTGGAAGATCACAGTGCTCCCTGCGCATACTAGCAATAGAGCAGTCATAGCACAGATTTATGTGGACAAGTTTCTCCCGTCAGCGCTCATTGAACATTTCCAGGTCTTCGCTTTCGACCTATGCCTTCATACAGAACTGTTTTGGCCTTTTCGTTTTTGAAATGCTAGTTTTTCCCCAAAATTTGGTTTGGATCTAGCGTCTTCGGGAAATGCCGACCCCCGTCACCCTATCAGCAGTATGCTTCTTCTATGTGGACGACACTGGCAAGGTAAGACACCGTTTTGACTGGTCTTAGCTAGGTGGTTGTCATAAGTAAAATTTGTCCTGGGATGGGACGCCCTTTATTTTGAGTACTTTGTGAACAAATGAATAAACTTGACGAGTTACAACAAGAAAAACTGGGCACAAAAGATCCAACAATTACGGGTACAAACATCACTAGTCGACAGTAACCCTAATAATAAAAACCAGGACACGACAAAACTGAACATTGTCTGTACATGATTTAAGTCAGATTAAATTGTGACCAGTCTGTAACCCCCGGGGGGGTCACTCTATACTCCGTTACTACTCATGTGCGTTCCAAATTTATTGGGTAAAGGGGGTGTTTTTTACCTTCTAAAGCTGGCCCGCGCGGGAGGCAAATAGCCCCCCTTTAAAATTCTAATATCTGCAATAGGCCCCCAGGGGTGTTTTTTTCTTCAATATGTCTGATCTAGGCGGTACTAAATTTACAGTGCGGCCGCAATAGGGGGTATGGTTTGGCAATGTGCTGCCAGCCCTAGGGCCTATTAATTTGTAGCAAGAACGCACATGGTGTAAGGTTTTAATATAGAGTGACCCCCGGGCCTGTAACACCCCCACCCCCTCAGTACTAGTAGTGATTTTAGACAAACAAACGAAAACATCTCTGAGTATCAGAATGATCATTGACCTTTAATACATGTGACATTTACGTGCCGCTAACAAAACCGTTTGTGAATAGCCGCTCAATTCTATATTTCAAACATATATAAATACAAATACAAATGAACCAGGAGAACATTATAAGCAACCAGTGGTGTTTTTAAGGGGGTAACATTCGACTTCACTTAAATACTCAGCATTTTGATATTTGAATTGCAGGTCAATTAGCGATTTTGTTTTGTGTAGTTGTACGTGTCCTTTGCGAAAAGCCGCTCACATGCGCACCACAACAACAAGGGTAAAAACAACAAAAATGGATTTTATCATGATTTTGGTGAATATATAGAACATATTTTATTCAAATAAAGGATTTTGATATGGGTATTTTTGTAAAATGTAACGTTATGTATTACCGGTAAACTATGCACACCATTAAAATGATGAAACTCTCAAATGCAGCCATAGTACACATATAAAGTAAACAAAATTAGTGATTTTGGATTAGTTAAAATTTTGCCAACATGCTGTGACATTACATCTAATTGGTGGTGGGAATCGCCAAGCAAGTTTATAAAATTGTGAACAAATATTTTCGTAACTGACACCTATATTGGAAAATTGTTCTGGGATTATTAATTTCAATAAACAGTATTTAACTATCCTTTTGCAAGAACAATAAGATCATTACTTATAGTATGTCACTAAGCAGTTTGACAAGAATGCTATAAATGTTCAAATAATTCTCGGTCTAAGTAAGAAACTGAGGGGCAATATCAGAGCATGGGTCTTATTTAGAAACTCCTGGCAAAGCAACTGCACATTATAAGGAAAATGTAACAGCTCCTATAAGGATGGTATTTGCAAATCAACATCAGTTGTTAACAACACAATAAACATTAATTCTCAACTCTGATGAAAGGACCAATTACTGCGCGACAAAGCCCTGCGATAGCAACTCACCGCCAAAGCCACTTATCGTGAAGCTACTAGTTCAATAAATGAAAATGTGAGTGTAAAATGGCGAAAGCCGAGTTTTTTCGTGGCAACAAAGTACTGTATGCAAGTCTACGCTCACCCCTACATGTGAATATTATGCTGTTAGTCCAGACGTGGTGCATAGCCTGACATATACTAGGCGTGAGTAGCGCCCTCGCCGCCGAACGGCATCAGACCTCACTAACTGTGTTGGGTTTGTAGCACCGCGGAGAGCGCAACTCAAGCGACCTCGTCAGGCTACGTGATGCAATGACACCCGTAATACAATAATAGTCACTCACATGATCTAATCATAGATCCTAAAATAAT